CTGGGGAGGGCGCCGGGTGAACTGAATCGCATAGCCGAGCCTGATGGTTCAAAGAAGCCATCGAGACGGGCTGGGTAGTGCTAGCCAGGCTCCCAGACGCCATGCAAGTGGTACCAACGGAACTACAGGTGTACCCGCAGTGGGGCAGCGAGGAAGAACGCAGGGACCCGGCCCGGGCGTCTCGTTGCCGGTCCGAGGCGGGGTCTGGGTGTGTGTAACACTGACCTGCGTTTGAGCAGAGGGTGCGTGGGTAGTCCGTTGGTTCGTCCTCCCGATCCGCCCACTGCTGCTCACTGGCGAGAGAGGAGGGTGAGTGTGATACGGCTCTGGATCGTCCACAACCCCCGTCCCCTCAGGGGACCCAGAGAAAGAAGAAATTGCTTTTTTGTCAAGAATTTGGGTACCACTGACCGCGAGGTCAGAAAAAAGGAAACAAAAGATTCTCCACCCGGCCCTCCTCCGGGGGAGGGAGCGGTGCGTTCCCCATCTCCCGAAGAGCAACTCCCTCCATCTCTGGGTCACCCGTCTCGGGGCCTCTTGCTCCTTCGCTTACCCCCAGGTCTGGCGGGGGGCCGGGACGGGCGGGGCGGCTGCCCTGCGGCCGGCTCCTCTGTGCAGTTTTGCTGGAGGCTGCTGCGGACGCTGCGCGGGAGCGGGGGGCGGCGGCTGGGGGTCGCCCTCGGCGACAAGCGGGCTGAGGCGCTGCCACCGGCAGCCGGGTGGAGGCAGCAGCTGCACGCCGGGGCAGGATGTACCTGATGGCCTCAGTCTGCTTTTGGGCAGCGGAGAACTGCTCGGCGAAGTTCTCCACCGTGTCGCCGAAAAGGCCGGTCTGGGACACGGGGGCGTTCAAGAATCTTGTCTTGTCCGTCTCGTGCATGTCGGCCAGACACAGCCAGAGATGGCACTCCTGGACCACCATAGTGGACAGCGCACGACCCAGAGACCGCGCTGTAACCTTCGTCGCTCGTAGCGCGAGGTCTGTCGCGGTGCGGAGTTCTTTGAGAACTTCCGGGTCGTGACCACCCTCGTGCAAGTCCCTCAGTGCCTTGGCCTGGTGCACTTGCTGTGACGCCGAAGCGTGTAAGGCGGAAGCAGCTTTTCCACAGGCCCGTATAAGCAGTGTCGATCAAGGCCGACAAGTGCCTACAGGCCCGGGAGAGGAGCAACGGTTTGTCCCGCCAAGTGGTAGCGGCATTTGGACACAATTGCATCGCAACCGACCGCTCCACCTGGGGAACTCCCGCATACCCCCGCGCTGGACCCCCATCGAGGGTGGTGAGGAAGGATGAGCCACTGGGCCGGTTTCTGGCAGTGAAAGGTGCCATCCATGACCCAGCGATCTCATCATGCACCTCCGGGAAGAAAGGCACTGAGGTGGGGCCCTGAGAACCAGTGCGCGCCACCCCGAGAAACCAATCATCCAACCTTGAGGGTCCAGGAAAGCATAGCCATCATTTCCGGGTCCGTCTCCAGCACTGCTGACCGCCCAGAGGGCGGCAACGCTGACGGATCTTCATCCCCGGAAAAGTCCAGCTTACCCTCCGATGCCGCAACCGACATTTGATCGTCGGGAGGAGCCTCGGAAAAAACAGGTGGTAACCCCCGGGAGGGTCCAGCCTGCTCTTTTGAGAGCTCCGCTGGTTTCGCAGTGCCGGCGGGTTTGGGCATCCCCGGAGGGGAATTCCTCACCGAGACCGTAAGACCAGTCCGCCCACCGCTAGAAAAAGGACACCCCCGGCTGCCACCAGAGGGAGCCCCAGATCTAGGCAGTGGCACGGGCACGCCGCCCCCTTGCAGGTAACGGAGTCTGGTCCGCAATTCCGAGATGGTCATACCCCCGCAATGGGAGCATGAGTCATCCACGAAAGCCACCTCAGCGTGCTTCATGCCCAGGCACGAGAGGCAGCGATTGTGACCATCACCCGGCGCCAGGTAACGACCGCACCCAGAAACACACGGATGGTATGACATCTTTAAAAAGACGCATCTTTAAAAAGACGTTCCACCCGTGAAGTTTTTTAGAATGGAAATGGCTCTTTTAGTGTGCTGAAGTGCACAGGGGAGATGGCCGTCTGCAACACACACAGGGGTAGTGCAGCCTGTTGTGTGCAACCCACTCGACACGGGAAAACCACCGCCGCTGAAGCGCCGTTCCACCAGCACGAGAGCCCACCGAAGAGCGTGCTTGACTGTAGTTTTTCTCACTACTGTAGGAAGGTCAGGAGCAGAACGATAGAACTGCTCGGCTCCGAAGCGAAAAAGCTGAATATGCGCTGCATCTGCTGCCTACTTATACTCATGCTGTGATCAGCAGCAGCTGGATGCAATAATCGCATGCCAATGTGCATTGGCTCGTTTAGTTTACACTCGAAGTAGATTGGTCCCTCTAAGCGAGATCCTAATTCGTCGGTCATCCGACGTGACGTCGAGAGTGACCGACTGAAAGGGAACAATATTTATTACAAACTATAAATATATTTATTATTTTTATATTTTATGTATTATTGAAAAATTGTTTTGTATAACATAAAAAATATCTAAAAAGATTATATTTATATATATTTTTAGATATTATTTATGTTATACAAAACATAAAATTTTCCATGAGTGTGTGTGTGCTCCTTAAAGGGGTCATATGATGCGATTTCAAGTTTTCCTTTCTCTTTGGAGTGTTACAAGCTCTTAATGCATAAAGAGGATCTGTAAAGTTGCAAAGAGTAAAGTCTCAAATCCAAAGAGATATTCTTTATAAAAGTTAAGAGTCAGCCACGCCTACCTAAAACGGCTCATTCTAACATGCCCCACATATCTACGTCACTATGTGGGAAGACTTGCATAATGCCACCTCAAATGTGCACGCAAAGAAAGAAGGCGTGGTTTCAGGAACAGCAGTAGTGTTGATGCAGCCATGTCAGCGAGACGCTGTGTGATTCAGTGCGAAAGCAAAAGCACTTTATTTGGCCTTCCGGAAGAAGATGCAATTAGGAATCATTGGTTAAGATTTATTTACAACAGAACAGCACAACACAGATGCTCGAATTTGTGCAACGCATTTTATGGGTGACAGTTTTTTGAACCTAGAAGAGTGTAAAACTAACGACATTATTAACTGTCTTGATATTTACTTTGAAAGCTAAAGCTCGCGATCATGGTAAGGTGCGTTACATTTCCGACGCGTGCTTGTGGTGTTCGGCCAATCACAATGCACTGGGTCCGCTGGCCAATCAGAGCAGACTGCGCTTGTCAAAGGAGGGGGCTTTGTTGAAAACGACGCATCTGAGAGAGGCGGGGCATAGAGGATCTACAATAATGTACAGTATTTGAAAAATAATGTGTTTTTTGAACATTAAAGCATGTCAACATATTCTGTTACACCAAATACACAAAATAATGATCTTTAAAATAGCATCATATGACCCCTTTAAAATAATCAGTAAATGCTCTTTAAAAACATTAATATCAGGCAGATATGGGAAAAAATTCTATATCTATTATGTAAATGAGTGGGCAGGGTCAATAAAACTGAACAGCCAAACACAGTGCCGTCAGCAATGGATCCTCTCCTGCTCAGGCAACAATGTGACATTGAGTGTGTTTCACTGCGCCAGAGAGAGACTCATCCTTCATTAAGTTTCAAGGGCTCGCCTGTTTCTCCCCCTGTACTAATGGGACCCCGGGGAGCTTACCTCAACTTTGTTCTCTATATAATCCCAAATCCCGAGCACCACAATCCTAAAGACAGTCTGGGAGAGGAAGAGAGAGACAGGGAAGAGAGAGCATATAAATTGAAAAGACCCATAAAAAGAAATAAAAAAAGAAACAGAAAAGAAGCAGATTAATGAAAATCGCTGATCAGATTTCTGATGCTTCAGCACATTGCATTCTGGGAAATCATCCACAAGAAAACAACAGACCGTGTTTAGTGAAAGGCGAGAGAGAAGCCTTGGGCAAAAAAATAAAAATCAGGCAAACATTACTTTTCCAGCGACCCACGAACAGCAAACATAAATAATGAGCTTGCAGGGAAAATGTGTATGTAGGGTAATTCGAAATCTAAGTGATATCGAGATGTGGCGGCAACAGAATTCACCTCCATTTGGTTGAGAAATAACCTCCGCAAAACCCATTTCCAAGCCGAATCATTTTCTCAGAACGCAGCTCATAATTTATCAGTGACCTGCAATATGTATTCATAAACTCACAAGCGGCCGAGATCTCATCGAAACACTCGGAGGAGACGCTGTTTTAGTGACTGCTGACTCAGGTGGCACACGCTAGGCTTTTTATCGCTTTCTATCCCTACTTTGCTCTCTTTTCCTCTCTAAAACATGTGACGCTGAAACTTTCAGGCCTTCCCGTCTCTTGAGCCTTTATCGATGAGCAAAATGCAAGTTGAAGGAAATAAATGCAAGTCTGCTTTAAAAGAGCCAGAGACAAATGCAACTGGATCTGAAGAAATGGGAATCAATGGAAGTCAGCACGTGTCAGGACACACACACACACACACACATTTAAAGTACAGTAAGAGCACTATGTGAAACTGCTTTTTCTTGGGTTCAATTAAGACGCCCCTACAGCATAAACATTCAGATAAGACCATACATCAAATACTTCCAAACGTCCCGTCGTGGCACCATTCATTTGAAACATATTATATGGATAGTTGTAAAACAGGCTATTTCTAGTAAGCCTGGTGGCTCTGTGTAAATTATGATCATCTTAGACTCAGCATCTTAGTCGTTTTAGTGGCCTGCGACCTTTAAACGTGCACTTTTAATGCAAAACATTGCTTTTATAGCTTTGTTATCTTTCAATTGAATATTAACAATAGACTCCAAAAATTCCTTTATATTTATATGTTTTACATAAAATGAATGTGTATAGTAGGCTATTGTTAAGATAATTTAGTTTTGGAAGAATCTGATGAGAAATGTTTAATAAGAAATGTATTTTGGCAAATTTGAGCACAGTATGAGACATTATAACGAGCTCTTCTAGGGTTACTAGGGTGTTTTTTCCAGAAGAAAAGCAGGATACTTCAGTGAGATCCCACACAGATTCACACTTACCTCAGTGAAGAACACGGACAGGATGACCAGGCTGATCCAGTGGATGATACAGGCGAACTGGAATGCATTATTAACTGTGGACACAATTCAAAGAGATTCTGCTCTCACTAAATGTAAAAAAAAAAAATCATATTATAATACAGTCAAATGTAATGAGCAACAGATTCTCAAAATTCACACAACTCAAAAGTTTGGAGTCAAGATTTTTTTTGTCTGAAAGAAATTCATATTTTTATTCAGTGATGACACATTAAATCAACCAAACGTGACAGTAAAGGCTTTCACACTGTTACAAAAGATTTCTATTTCAAATCAATGGTGTCCTTTTGAACTTTCTATTCATCAAAGAACTTGGGATGGTTCGTTTCAATGACCATTTCACTTAATTTCACTATAAACTGTTTCACAAGTTTCAAACAAAGTGATTTCCCAGCACTTTGTGAATCAGCTAAAAGTTAACTAATCATTAAACTGATTCATACTCTTTATGAATCAGACATCATTAATAATAATTTACATTACTAAAACAAGAATAGAACTAGGAAAATTTCACAAATTATTTATGTTTAGATAACACATTAAAGCTCACATAACATAATAAGCTGCTTGATCAAGCATTACATAAAGATCCTTGAAATGTAAAAAAAAAATATATATATATA